ACCATATCAGTTCAATTGGTTCTTTGCTCTCGGTGATATTCAGAGATTTCAGTGACAAAATTTGTTTGTCAGTGTCATCTTTGTATATATATATCAGGTCATGGCAGTGGCTGAAGAGGAGATGCTTCAAATTTAACGAAGAAACTTCGTGCATTCTCTGTAAAATATGTTAAAATTTCCAAGGACCACCAGTGGTGGGGTGTGGCAAATGATCAGTGTTACCAGTGTACCACTACAGTACAGTGATCAATAGAAGGCAGATATTTCCCATTAAATGTAGCTTTTTTCCCCTTTTAAATTGGACAGCTTTGCATATATACATGATTATCGGACTATGTCCTCTTGAATTGCCCTGTTAATGATAGTTTCTGTTCTCTATCTAGAGGCTTCCAAGGAAATTATTGTAAAGTAAATTTGGAGATTGTATGGTATCTTGAAGATTAATCTGTAGTTGAGACAAATCTTGAATGAAAAATATGAAGATGTTGATGAGCAATAAACAATAGTTTACAGGACCATTTGATCAGAAATAAGAATGAAGAGACTGTACAGTATATCATGCTCAAGAATTCCATGCTTACACTGTGTACACATATATTTTAAGAGAAATAGATGCTTTGTATCATATTTTCCATTTGAAGTTCGAGAATACCCTTCACATGCTTGTTGTTCTGCTTTATATTTTAGAAGTTATTAAGGCAAACTAGAGCCCTAGAGCTGGTTAACTGGGCTGACCAGCATGAGGAAGGAAGAGCAGCCAAAATCCCGGAGATGGATGGTATGAGTCGCGAAGAAAGCTGCTACGAAGGGAACAGTAGAAACTCTTCAAGAGTGACAAAATGCTCTGTCAGAAGACTTGAGTGGGAAAGTAGGACAAGGAAAAAACTTTTAAAAAACTTGACAAGTTATGCAAAAAAAACCTCACAACCAGAGCTAAAGATAGAATACTGCCCAGAGTTGGTGGGCAACTGTTACTGAGATGCTCAGCCACTGAAAATTTTCCAGAGTGGGCAATAATGCAATAAATATATATTTTGGTTTCATTGATTAATCAGATTGATGATGTATTATCTGTCCAAATCATTTTGTATAAAGCATTAATTGGCCAACTTTAGAAGGAGGTTATGTTATAATTACATGCCTATGTGAGGCTTCTTATTCATTGAACATATAATTTGGCAATTTTTAATTTATGACCTCATTAAGGTATGTTGTGAATTCAATTTTATATTTAATTTCCTCCACCTGAGATCCATACATTCTTCCAGTTGTACACATTTTTATGTGTGAAAGTTTCAAATTTAAAGTGCATTCAGAATAAGAGAACTATTTTGTATTGGTGCTTTACTAAGGTGTATAATTATGTGTAATAGGCATACATTAATTGATACAATTACAAATTTAAATTGATTAAGAAAAATATCCTGACTTTT